AATTACTAACCGGAAACTGGGTTTTTTGAAATTTAAGGCTAAAAAATTTCCTTTGCAAGTGAAAAAAACGCGAAAAAAATTCTTGAGAATTAATCAAGCTAGAGGCAAAAAAACATATATTTGAGTTCTAAAAGAATCAAATTTTTGGAAATATTTAAAATAATTTTAAATATCGCAAATTTTTAATTAATGAATTTTCTGCATTTTTTAAATGTTAAACATCAATTGTGGTCACGTTGTTTAGACCTATTAGCCTGAAATTCGACAAAAATTCGTATTTATGTAAGCACATGCCATCTAAGGTAGAGGGGGNTATCCACTAGCAAAAGAGTAAAAAGATTAATGTGTGTAAGTAAGATAAATAAACATTAAGGTTTTCGAAAATGAGCACGAATAGGAAGGAAATTTAAACCCTAGTTTCCCCTTGAAAAATATTATATTATTAGTGAAAAATCTAAATTTTTTATTCCTATAAATGTATGTTTATAATTTAACACTTGTGTATGTTTTGCTGTACTTAATATTTAAACTAGCTTGGGAACCCAGTTTTGTCTAAAAACTGAACTTTGACTATAAAAGTCATCCAACACATTGTAGACCAAGCGGCAAGCACCAAGAACATGCTTTAGTTCTACTGAGTTCCCTAATCAAATTTTTAATCATAAGTAGACATACAAACAGACAGACAAAGATTACTACTTTATATACAGTGAAACCCCTAATAACAAATACATCGAAAGAATTCATCAAATGTCGTATGAAAAGACTAAAAAGAATATTTTTATACATATACAAAATAAAAAGAATTAACCTATTAAGAATGTCATTAGTTCAAAGAAATGTCAATTATATAAAGCATTTTATACTCATCTAGCAAACTAGATTCTGATTGCTTTTTTCTCATACAAAGTGTATCATTTATTTTCGCTGATTATCTGGTTTTGTACATTTTCAGGAAATTGTAGATTTGTGTTGGCTGATTAAAAAATATACCAATATATTAGAGGGTCCTTATTTCTGCAAATATGGCAATGCCAGATTTACAAACAGTATACCATTGAAAACATTTTCTGATCAAGTATGAATAAGATATCACTGTTTTTGCTTCTTTAAACTGTTTATTTTCATTTGTGCGGGCATTGCAATCTTTGCATGGAGGGTCACTTGAAATTACGCTTACAGTCCCTTGAATGAATTAATTATCAATGAGATAACCCTAGAATGCCGAGTCCATTAGCGCCTGATCCAATCAAAGTTCAGTCATGTGTTTGGTGTATATTCTGAACCAATAGAAATTGCATAGCGGTAACAAATATCTTTCTATCTATCTCATTAACCAATCAGAGATAAATCCTTATTGCAGCGCTCTGTACACTAAACAGAATTATTTTCTTCTACTGAAGCTATAATGAGATGTCCTATAAAATAAAAGACCTTGTTACAGTGCTACTACTGAGACTCGAAACCAACCAAGATAGATTATATATATTAATAGAGATGGGCGAACAAAATGTTTGAGAACGAAATAAATTTTTTGTGAAAAAGGCTGTTGTTTAGAAAAAACGACAATGGACGAACGAAATGGATCATTCAGAGAAATGAGAAAAGATCGTTTTTTAAAAAAGAATGATTAGAAATTTAAAGTCTAATGTGCCCATCTTTAAATATGAATCCAATATGAGACACCTAGCGGTCAAACAATCGTCATCTTAAAAACGTCAATTGGACAAGAATCCGACTCAAGACATAGTTTTTATCACTATTTTAATATTGTAGCTTTGATGAAATATTTAAATAAAGAGCCAGGCCGGTACAAATTTAGTCACAAACAAACTAAGCTAGTGGGGTAGGCTGGCCGTACCATTTAAATTGAAACTGAGTCGGCCTGAGATAGGTTACTTGCCGTGCCTAACAAAGGCTGGTCCAAGGGGTCGGTCCGGTTCAAATTCAAATTTAACCTAGTCCACCGTGAGTAGAAAAGTCACCATTCATGACTTTCCTGGGTTGGATTTGGGAATAAATATAATATTTCTCTAACCTTTGTATTGTATGACCATTATCCATGTTATATTGAGGATTCCTTTCCAATAACCATTAAGTTAACCTAGAACTGTTAGAATGTCTAGAAATATATTATTCTACAAAAATCATTTATTTATTCTTTTATCTGCACTGATCAGAATCTGGATCAATTTTTCACATTTCTTATTTTTATTTGATGAAAAAGGAAAAATGCGAAAATTGTTCGTATTTCGCAAAATTTTTTCGCGAAATTTCGCATTTTTTCGCTAAGTTTTTATTCGTTGGAAACATATCAAAATTTCAAATCATTTTTCTTCTTCTCGCGAACAAAAAATTCCCTGAAAATTTTTAACATTTAATTGCGCAAAAAAATTTGTGTAATTCTCTCCTCTGAGAGCTCATCATTAAAAGTTTTTCATATTATAATTTCGCTGAAAACCAACGAAATAAGTTTGCATCTCTTGAGCTTATAACTACAATAAAACTCGAAGAGCTACGAGATCACATAGTTGTACCAGTAGTAATGCACAAGTTTGACCTTCCCTTCTGTCTAATGGAGTGTAAAAGGTTTAATGGGTACCGTTGTGAATCGGACATGAAACTCTATAAATGAAAGGTCGCTTGAAATTCAGTTCCTTTAAACATACATTATTTATGTTCTGGACAAAATTTTAGAAGAAAAAAATCCGCTAAACCAATATTTTTTTGGAAAAATCAAATTGTTGGGAAAATGTTTATTATTTTCTAAAATTTCATTAAAATTCATCAACTGTTGAATGAGATATAACAAAATATGCTAGCCCATAATTTCCATTTTGAAAGTTTTTAGGTTAAGAGCTCTAATTCTGCCACGTCACCTTGATATATATATTTTCGATTTCTTAAATTTAGATTTTCAATAAGTTTAGTCAATAAAGTATTTATTTAAACTTCGGTCGTGTTAAACTGAGCGTAGCCAAAGTACTTAATATTTAAACTAGCTTGGGAACCCAGCTTTGTCTGAAAACTGAACTTTGACTAAGTCATCCAACACATTGTAGACCAAGCGGCAAGCACCAAGAACATGCTTTAGTTCTACTGAGTTCCCTAATCAAAATTTTAATCATGAGCAGACATGTACAAACAGACAAACAAAGATTACTACTTTATATAAATGGATCGAAGACTACTCCCTTATCCTCAACAAAAGTTCCAGTCTCTCTGTGAAAATAGTTAAACTGCAAATCCTCCTCAGCAAATAAATCACTTGTCTATTCACAGAATTAAATCTATCAATTTATCTTCATTTAAAAGTTGTGTTAAAGTTAAATACACCATTTACAAGAATAGTTCTATAAATTGCAAAATCTAAATCTAAATGTCCCATTAAAAGACATTAATGGAATTAACTTGATACCACAAAAAAGGAAATTTGAAACAATTCAAAATGTGATTAAATTTAATTTTAGTACAACCATCGTTAAGTTTTATTCTATAAAATGAAAATAAACTTTTAGATTTTTATTTTGACATAAAAAGTTTAAAAGATTAAAGAGATATAATTTCTTGTGGTCCCTCTATTTATATTAGTAGCACAACAGTAACCTTTAAATCTGATCAGCATGCTTTTTCATATAAAAAAGGTTTGAAGGGTAACATTGTAAAACAGACTTTTATCATATTTTTACCTAGCTGGGGAACCCAGCGTTGCCCAGGGAAGTCATAGTTAGTCCCACCGTTTACCCGCACTTTATCCTAAATTACAATTTTAACCATTTTTCCTGATGATGGTAGACCCACTCAACTTAGAATCTCAAAACTATGCTAAGAACATTCCCGTGGGTCTCCCGAGCTTCCTAATCAAAATTTAAGGCAAATAGGTTCAGGGGTTCCTGAGTTATGATCGGACAGACAAACAAACAGACACCCAAACAGAGATTACAACTTTGCATATATATAGAGATTACCACGCGTCCATTTATAGCAACCAATTTGAATGTGAACAGTAGTTTATTATTTTGATAGAAGAAATTAACATAAAGTAGATAGATAGAATGATAAAAGTACAAGAAAAATGAAAAAAAGGATTTGATTGAATAAATATTGAGAAAAGGTATATATAATGGTGAATATTAGAAGGTAAGTAAAGGAGGAACCCCAGCACTGAAAAATTAATTTTTGATCATAATACAGTGAAACCCTTAATAACGAATACATCGAAAGAATTCATAAAATGTTGTATTCTTCACTTTCTGAAAATGGAATGTTGCAGATATTTAGTTTTTTTAAATTAAATGATTATATGGAACTCTTTAAACTGTTCCAGCATATTCATAGCTATTTATTTATTTTCGCAAATACTGAAATTTACGAAATATAGTATAAAACTCATTGAAAAATTGNTATCCATGACATATATTGACAAGCCATGAGTTAAACCAAAGCCAAGCAGAAATTATAGTATATATTGACAGACAGGTAATGGCCTTCAAACCATCTCTTTGCCTGTTTTCCAATACAGATCTAGTTTTCTCATCAAACATTCATAAAGAACCTTTCCTATATCACGTCAGTACCACAGATGCCATCCTGCTTAATAGAATTAAGAGCTATTCCTTAACTGGTCCAGCCATTAGTTTCCTCTTGGGTGGCTGGAATAGCGAGGATTTGTTTCATGTCAAATATTTTTCCAAAGCAGAATGCCTTTTAAGCTTCGAATTGTTATATATCATAAGAAGGTTGAGAAAAGAAAGGGGAACATCAAGAAAAACAAAATTGTTATGACTACTGCAGATTCTAGAAGATTGATTCAACTAGATCGGAAGAATCCATGATTCGGTGCGTACCGTGTAACCAAGATGTACTATAATGAGCATCTACACCCTCAGTCTAATTGTGCTCCATCTGTTTGGCATTTCATGTCAATCCTCTGATAATGTTCTCAGAAATTATTACAATTGTTATTTCTACAAATATTATGGATTAAATTCGTCGGAAAGGATAGCTCAAAGGATTGAGTTTGTTGATAAAATTTTAAAGAAAAGAACCCCGGAGTCAGTGATCCCTCCAACTGAAGCTTGCATAGAGTGGATGTGTGACAAGAACCTTGTGTAAGTAAAGGAATCAGACCTTGTAGTCTTAGTAACCTGAGGGTGATGAGGGTGATGGGGGGCGCTTGCCCTCTCCCCCCCCCCCCCTCTGTTTGTATGGCGTACCACTTTCATTTTTAATACTATCACTTTAAAACTTTTCAACAGTAGAAAGGCCAGTCCGCTCTAAAAAAAAACTAGAATTGCCTATTAATCTTAATATTTGTCAAAAAAAGTCAGAGGCCTAATTTTATTTAATGAGCTGGCCTTAAAAATTTGGCTTTGCACATGCATTGCATTCCTATATCTTTTCTATATTAGCCTTTCTCTAGGGGGCTATACTAAGATTCAGACCCCCCAGCCTTATAATGTCAAGATTTGATGAACTGTCCAGTAAGGTTTCCTTAACTTTATTTTAACAAGAATTTATATTCTTCAACAGAAAAAAAACGTTTATCTAAACATTTGATATAATCTATCCTTTATTGCTAAGGAAAAGCCATAAATAATAAATGATTAGAGTGAAAATAACCGGTCTAGTGTTCTCTTGTGCATGATGCTTTCTACAATTTGTGTCTAACCTTTACATGGTTCTGCTTTCTACTTTATTTAGAAAATACAGGGAAGGGGGGCTGGGGGTGAGGCGGGTAAAGAAATATGAATAATATGATGATCATTTAACACAATAAAAGTTGTTTACATTTTCTGAACTTGGATTTAAATGATAATTCAACCCAATTTTTTACCATTGTTTGGGGTTTTTTTGAATCAGAATAAAATCTAAGAACAGCATTTGACCAAAACATTTCTGTTTAGGTGGGAGAGAAGGGAAGTAATGCAGAAAGAGGTTTGGATATTTTATGCTCTCCCTGGACAAAGCATAAAATCTTGGGATAAATGTGTAAAGGTAGTTAATTATTCATAAAAGTGGATTCAAGATGTTTTTTTTTTTTTTAAACATAATGTTAGCTTCGAAAACCATTGTTACTTCCACCGTTTACCCACGCAACCTACAGAAAAATGAATATTATCAACTTTAAAATTTGGTAATGGTGATGGACCAAACCTCTGTAGAGTAAAAAAGTAGATGTTAGTTCCATATTTATCGAAAATATATTTTGGTCTGGGTTGACCCTCGTCAGTTCTCTTGTAGAAGTGAATCAAGCAATATTAGCTTGGTCGTTTTATTATCAACAATATTTGAATAGTGTATACACAAATATTTATATTTACAGGATGAAATGAATCTGTATGAAGAAAAGAATTACACAATATCTAAAATTGGTGAGTAAGGAGCATATAAATTAAACATACAACTAGGGATTGGCATATTTTAAATTCCGTTCAAGGACATTCAAGGTTTTTTACTTTATATTATATTTCAAAAGTTGCATTTTCGATAAATGCAGAAAAAACAATTAGCTTAATGTAAATAAAGCAACTTTAAAAAAACTAAATCTTATACTATTTTTTTAGGTGTTTTTTCAACATTAGTTGTAAGTAACAATAGCAGGGTGTTCTTTAGACCTAGTACTCCATGTTACAATAAAGGAGGTGCATTCCTTGACAAAGTAATTGTAAACATCCTAAATAATACTTTTGACTGGGCCCAAGCCAACTTTCTTTATGACACTTATTGTAGCGAGGTAAGCTTGATAAATAAAGGAATTTGAAAAACAATTTTACAAATGTATTTTACCATTTTAGAAGAATCTTGAATCTGAAGGTAACCCCCAAAATGAGACTACGACTCCTGCCATGGATCCATCTATGATGAAGGAAAATACTTCTGATCCAAGTGTTTTTCCAGACAGTAATTCTACTAGCCCAATCAACATTTCTATCAACATATTTGGTACTTCCACGTCCATTCCAGATGTTCCTGCTGATGTGCATAAAGATAATATTGGGAACTCAAATATTACTCCTACTGATCCAATAATTGATTCCTTCCTCCTCATTCAAGAAAATATTACAGGAGTTGTAAGCAATGTTTCCATTGTAACAACTATAAAAACCTTTACTGTGCAGGATGTCAAGGACTTATCTGATGATATCTCAAATTATGGAAATGATAATGCTGCTTTAAACAACTCTATTGCTATATACAGGATTCCAATTGTTGGTGTAATCAACACTTTTTCTTCTATGCTTGCCATTAAAAGTGAAAATCTGATTAATGTTCCCATTGAAGGAATTATCAACATTACCTCTGTCATAAATGATGGTGAAAGTGATCTGAATAACATTCCTTTTGACGGGATCATTGAAATAACAACTTCTCTTGTACCGGATATTAATGATATTGATAAAAAAAATGTTCCTTTCACTGGATTTATAAATATTACCTCTTCATCTTTAAACAATACTTCAAATGATCTTTATAACATTCCCATAATGGGATTTATTAAAAACACCCCATCTTTATCAAACATTGGTGTTAGTGATATAAACATTTTAATTGCTGGAGTTATCAACATTACCTCTGAAATGTCCACCACACTAATTGGGAATCAAAATAACAGCACTGCTGGAAAAAGTCTTGGCCACTTAGGCACATTAGCTGGTAATGAATTAAAAAAACTGCCTAATTTGTCATCAAAACCATCTACAGAACCAACCACACAAAAAATATCTAAAACATCCACAGAGCTATTTGAAATTGAGTTCCAGTTATCAGTTCCAACACCTTTGGAACAATCTGATCTCTTACTAGAAGAAATTAAAACTCAGGGTGGTTTTAATCCAAGTAATGATTTGACAGATGAAATTTTTCTAGAGGAACCACATAGTGCATCAACTACCAACGCTACAGAACCTAGGTGAGATGAAATTGCTGCACATTAATTTTAAATGTGAAAAGTAACAATTTTTCTTTGCAAATTATGTACCTATTGCAAGTTGAAAATCTAACTTTAACTGTATTTGACGACTTTACATGAATGTTTCAACTCTCAAGATTATATGGATTATACCTCTGAATCAACAAATACAAGTTCTGCCAACTTCACTGTATTAATTCCAGTGGTTAATTCAATATCAGGTATAAGATCTTCTCAAATCTAATTAATTTAGAATTAATGAAATTTTTTTAAAGGCAAGAATGAGATGGAGAACTTTATACTAATAATCATACTATTGGCTATTGTAGTTTTAATCTTTCTCAGTGAGTACAACTAACAGTAATTTAAACAAGCTGAAATTGTAACCATTTTATTTTTCAGTTTGCTTTTGCGTGGCCAAGTACAAAAGTGTGGTTAACTTTATTTTGTTTCATATGAGGAAAAAGACCTCTAAAAGACCTCTAAAAAGAGATTCAAACATATCCAATGTTACAAGCATACAGGTTGAGGATGCGAAGAATACTAAATTCCAAGACAAGATAAATGATTATGATAGTGGACGAGGGTAAGATTAAGTTCTAAAAGAATTGTGAATAGATCTAATTTAAATTTGTGTAGAAGTGTAGATACCAAGGATGAAGATTCATTTATCAAACATATTCAAGGGGATGGATATAATCAGTACCAAGTAAGTTTCCTTGTACGTAATGTAAACACTTAAATTAATTATTTAAATATTTAGTATATGAATGGATCAAGCAGCATTAGCAGGAGAGAAAGCAATTTCAAATTTAAAGGTACAAAACTGGGCTGGGTCCCCAGAGATCATGTTGGGGGTATTTTTAAAGATAATTTATGATAAGGTTTTTAGAATTTGTATTTTGGATGTGCATTGTGCACCATTCTTGGATAAACCTTCACTTTACTTTACTTTGATATTTCCAGAGTCTTTATGCGTTACATTTTAGATAAGCGTGATATAATATATGAAGAAAGTCTATCAAATCTCAGTACCAATGATTTGTTGAATCAGCTCACTGTGGAAGATTTAGAAAGACCAAATCTTCAACCACAGGCAAAGATTTGATTAGAGCATTTTTCACAGCTTTAATTTAGTAAATAATATATATATCATAGGTAAGAGAAGCTCCAATTAGGTTTGTGAATGATGATATTAGTATGAGTGAGAGCCTTGGAAGCGAACTAACACTTGATGATGATTTTTGTTCTGACATACCTGAGGAAGATGAGCTAGATTCCTCTAATTCTAGTGGAGATTTCAAGCATACATTCCCTTCCAGATCAATCAGTGAATTAACAGAGAACAAAATTGATGATATTGTACCATTCAAACATACAATCCCTTCCAGACCAATCAGTGAATTAACAGAGAACAGAATTAATGATATTGTACCAGGCAATGCTGTAAAGAATCTAAACAATGATAATTTGCAAGCTAAAGGTGTGCAGAGGCAGCGCAAAAATTGTGTTTTTCTAATCAGCCCTTCCAAAGTCAGAAAAAAGACACCAGCACAACCAAAAACATCAAAATGGAAAGAAGTGGACATTTTACACATACTAAATGAACATAAACTAAATAACAAAGCAGAACATTTGGTAAGAGAGCATGATGACTGCTCTAAAGCACTACCAGGAATAAACAATGAAGATCTCCAGAATAATGATGAACAAAGTACTGTAGATTTAACTACAAAGGCGCAAGTGAGTCAAAATAATGAAAAACTGGATTTAGAACTTCTGAACACTGATTTTTTCCTGGAAGAATTTGATAGTAAAATAAAAGACCTACAAAAATACCTTGATGATGATGATGAAATATATGATTTACAAGAAAAAGTGGACGAAAATTCTAATCTTAAGGTTTTTAGCTCCACATCAGGGGAAAGCAACACCAATGTAGAATACAAAATGATTATTGCTGGTAATGAATTTAACAACAGTTCAAGCAACCATTCACCTCCCGAAATATTGGCTGCATACAAGGAACCAGATATAACTTCAGAGAAGGCGGAGGTGAAAAAGAACTTGAACTATCTCACAAAAAAATCAAATCTGGAATCAAAAAATGACAGAAACAAATACCCAAGAATGAAGGGGTCTGAGTCTTTTGATTTTCATCTGTCCCTGTCTGAAATAATGATATCTGATTCTGAATCAATGGACAGATCAACCGATCGATTTATGGGACTAAAACGAAGATCGAATCATGTGTCTCCTAGAAAACCTAAGAACATTGTAATAAACTATCCAAGTCCACACAAACATACCTCTAAGGTCATTCTCAATACCTAAAAAAAACATTTTAAGATTATCATAATTAATGTTTTGTTATTTTTTTTTATTTACAGAAATATGACAACTGCGTCTGTTATGTAGAGTATTCAGGTTAAAAATATAAGAAGATTAGACTTCGAAAACAAATTGTTGAAGCAGTATTAATTGGGACACATATTAAAGACACATTGCAATTGCATATTAAAGACATTAAGAACGCATATTAAAGAAGCACATTGAGAGCACATATAAAGATCCACAATGATATGCATATTAAAGAAGCACATTGAGAACCCATATAAATATACACAATGAGAACGCATATTAAAGATGCACATTGGAGACACACATTGAGACCGCATGTAAAAGATGTACATTAGATACACAAATTCAGAACGCATATTAGAGACACTTGTATGTGAACAAAGTTTTGACGACGCACATGGATGATGCACACAAGTCTGACATAAATACACCATAATGTATATATATTTTTTTAATAAGATGAATCATTCTATAATTTTTCAGGTTAAACCTAAGAGATTGGAGACACATCCTTCCAACATATTTGTTTTGTATTTTGCAATAATGTGTATTTGTGAAGTCAGTTTTAAATATTTTCAAATGAAAAATGTATACTAATTAATGCTAAAGTATGGGAAAGAATATTCCCAAATTACATATTTTTATATAAAGGACTGCACAATTTATATATTTTTCTTTAAATAACGTTTAAAGTGAGAGACGGCTATGAACATATATTAACTGAGAATATACTATTTCAAAGAAAAACTTCAGGATTCTTTGATCCAAATGAGACATTTTTTGGTGTACAATTCTTAAATGAGAGCGTAAAGTTGTTTCAGTCAGCAGAAGAAACGTTGTTCTACAGCAACTGATAAAATATTACAAACGACCTTATGCTCTTGTTTAAAAATTGTACACCGTAAAAATTTCTCATTGGTATCAAATAAATCCAAAAGTTTTTTCTACAATACTGCACTTTTAGCTCAAATATGTTACATATAGCCGGTCTCTCCCTTTAATAATAATTTATTTTAAAAACAATATCTAAAAAAGAGATTGTAGTTGTAACGGTACTCTTTTACCTTTAACCTTGTAAAAAAAGACAAAGTCTTAAAAAAAGGTTCACTTAAAATAACTTGGAGAGTCTATTTAATAATAAATATCTCTGAGTCCGAATTTAATGAATTTGAGCTGCGTCTTAAATCCGCCAAAAACTCGTTTCATTAGAATGCCGGCTTAAGTCTTGAAACATTGAAGACAATTTTAAGTGGAACCAACCTTAAAGTTGAGCTGCGTCTCAAATTTAAGCCACGGCTCAAATTCTTTGAATTCGACCTGTTACAATTAACGTAATTAAACATATAATTATATATGATTGTTGAATAAACGATTAATAATATCAATAAGTAATTTGCAATAATTTAAGTTAGATTGAACCAGGGGGGATGATAGTTTTCTACCTGTGCGCTCAGTTAGCTGTACTATACACTTACAACTGTTTACTAATATTTATATACTATTGGTTAGGCCAGAATCAACTTATAATAAACAAATATGCAGTACGCTCTCGGTACAGTTTAATGGCCTATAAAATTAGTAAAGATTTAGCGTACATCATCACTCTATACACAATAACCTCGTTGGATTGAACTATTAAAGGATCCAGTTTAAGGGATTGAACCGCCATTTTTATAATGGCATGTACAAGTCACAATCATACCCTTTAAAAGGACTGTCGCAATCTCAAATGACCCTCTGCAGTTAAAGAGAGAGAATGCCCGAGTTATAACGGTACACTTTTATTCTTTATCTAATCAATGTGGAGGATAGCGTTGTTTCTCTAGCTGGAAAAGTGTTTTATTCTGACTATTTATTCCATTGATCAATGGATAAGATAGCATGGATATCTCATTCATTATCGATCATACAAAGCTTTTAAGGGTACCACCTTTAAATCTAGCATACCACTTTAGAAATAAGGTTGAATTTCAATTTAGGCAACAATCATTTTACAAATTTGTTGCATTTTTTGTTTAAAAAATGACTGAAATGAACTATTAATAAATTTATATAAAAAGATTCATGTATTCTAATACTTTAAATAATGTTTCTAAATTTTTCTGCTTAATTAAATCAGTTAAGTAAATGAGGTATTTAACTTGTACAGAATTAATTGACTAATTTGAACTCAAGGTTACAGAATATCCTCAAACTACAGTCGTCTTCGTATATATCAATACAATGAAGACAACTTTCAATTTCAATTTGGATTTTTACCAAGCTTTCAAACAGCGTGGTATTCACATAAATACGGAAACAAGGAGAAGCTGTCAAATTTACGAAATCCTTTTGTTTACATGTAAACTTTTAATTTGAAAAATAGAAATGGTATAGTTTACTTTTGAGTATATACTGTTCTGAATGTTCTGAATGCAGAAATAGAAAGAATTCCCAAGATTTGAATTAACAAAATTAGATTTTCCAGGGTGGAGAGATAAGATAAGAAAATGGAGATTTTTAACAATTTCTTTTTTATTATAGAAATATTTATAGTTAAAGGAATTATATTTTAGTAACAAATGTAACAGAAATATTAATAGTTAAAGGAATCATATTTTAGTAACAAATGTAACAGAAATATTAATAGTTAAAAGAATCATATTTTAGTAACAAATGTAACAGAAATATTAATAGTTAAAGGAATCATATTTTAGAAACAAATGTAACAGAAATATTAATATTTAAAGGAATCATATTTTAGAAACAAATGTAACAGAAATATTAATAGTTAAAGGAATAATATTTTAGAAACAAATGTAACAGAAATAATTGACAGAATTGATCCCTTCTGAGATAGATAAGATAGTTTACCTCGCAGAACCTCAGATTGTTTTTCCGGTTTTGTATTATTTATAGTTTAAAGTGCAACGGACATTTTCTAAAGAATTTTCGTCCATCTATCCATCCTTCCATCCTCCCATCCATCCTTCCATTCGATCAACAAGATTTTAATATTTTATATCAGCGAATATTTCAGATTCATGTCAGAAATACACAAAGAGGGTGGAAAGGTTTGAATATTTTGAAGAGAAATGAACAAAAAATTCGCCTTAAAATTATATCAAAGCTTTTTAAAAAGAAAAATACACAATAAAAACTATCATGGTCCACCGCTGTACGCGAGTATCTTGTCAATAATCTTGAATCTAATTCTGTATTTAAAGGGTCTGTAGACGTAATTTCAAGAAACTCTTTATTTATGAAGTGTCATGTCCGATTCACAATGTTACCTTTAAACGCATTTTCTGGTCAAACATGACTAAAATAACCACGTGTTACAGAGTTGTTCAAGTAATTTTGCATAATTTGACCTTGTACGTCAGACTAGAAATGGGCATCATTTTTAATGAACAAACTATTTTATTAAACAAACTATTTTTCTGAACGAGCGATCTTAGTGAACAAACGGTTTCACTGAAAGAGCAATCTTAGAATACAAACAATTTTACCAAACGAGCGATCTTAGTGAATAAAAGGTTTGACTGAACGAGCGATCTTAGTGAACAAACGATTTTACCGAACAAGCAATCTTAGTGAACAAAGTGGGTTATAAACTTATAATGTGGTTATAATGTGGGTTATAATGTGGGTTATATATGGATTATAATGTGGGTTATAATGTGGTTATAATGTGGTAACAATTGTATCGAACGAGCGATCTTAGTGTACAAAAGATTTTACCGAACGAGCAATCTTGGTGAACAAACTATTTTAACAAACGAGCAATTTCAGTGAACAAACGATTTTACCGAACGAGCGATCTTAGCGAACAAACGATTTTACCGAACTAGCCATCTCAGACAACAAACTATTTTACCGAACGAGCGAGCTTAGTGAACAAACGATTTTATTGAACGATTGCTCAGTGAGAAAACGAATGAAATAAAAATGGAAAATGAATGCTAATATTGAGAACGATGATAGCAAAAAAAACTAACAAATGGGCCGTTTATGAATGATGAATGAATGAAATGAAAAAATCCGAACGTCGGAGCCAATCTCTACTTCTAACTATATATGTAATGAATGGTCTACAGAATTTGTTGGATATGGATTTATGAGAATAATTTAGTGTGTGATTCTGATCAGTGCAGATAAAAGAATAAATAAATGATTTTTGTAGAATAATATATTTCTAGACATTACTAACAGTTCCAGGTTAACTTAATGGTTATTGGAAAGGAATCCTCAATATAACATGGATACTGGTCATACAATACAAAGGTTAGAGAAATATTATATTTATTCCCAAATCCAACCCAGGAAAGTCATGAATGGTAGCAATGTAATTATAGCTAAAGCGTCGATATATTGACAACAGAACACATTTCCAAGATAAAAAAGATGGATATAGGAGGAACTTCCAGAAAATAAAGTATGTATCTGCATGATGAATGAAAAAACACGCAGGTTTTATGGATTTTCTTTCTATTCAACAGATTTAAAATGGCCCACAGCTTTTTTGTTATTAAACTATAGATCTCACACGATTAAATTACTTTTCTATCTCAAAGATTCTCACCTTTTTAGGAACCATCTCGAAAAAGAGAAAATGTCTGTCATAAATAAAAGTTATAGTGTTATAAATAGTTAGTTATTTTTAATTCTGCTACAAGGTGTCCCAAGAATCATGACAGTTGCTGAATATACAGGGTGTCCCAAGAATCATGACAGGTGCTGAATAGTTTTGAATGTCTTCTTTCATTTACTGTATTAGATGTTAAAGACTTTTTTCAGTTTATTAAGTTTAAATAACCTTTTATTCAAATATAGTTTATTTTGAAATCCATTTTACTATAATGAAATATTTTTTATTATTCTCCTTGGCATCTAACAACTTAACAAACTATGGAAAAAGACAAAATTATTCACCAACTTTCATGTTTCATGGGACACCCTGTACGTATGCCCACTGAAATCTAAACAATTCTCTGAAACTTGGTCATCAATGTTTTAGAAAGCCTCAACTTTAAAGTGTCACATCGCCAAGCACTCACAAACACACTTATACTTTTTTTTGTAGCCATATACATACATATACATACATATACATACATATACATACATAAACATACATATGCATACATATACATACATATACAATTTGAGGAACAATGCGCTTGTTTTTAGCATAAGTTTAAAAGTGAGTAATTGAAAAAATACTGCTTGAGTTTTAGTGAGAGCGATAACACATCTTGGTTTGCAGTGTGCCATATTTAATTTACACTGTTTCAAAATCTACCGGTTGAACAGTTCTGGTAAAAGTGCAGAATAAAACAATTTACCTCACCACTCACCTAGTCAGCCCCCCACCCCCCAAAGTATATACTGATTGCTGATGTTCCGAGAGCTAAAAAGAAAAACAGATCGTTATATTAATCTGATTCGGAATAACAATACAAATAGAGGGTTGCCAGAACACCACTCTATAGTCTATAGTCTAGGACTAGACTTGACTCTCTTTAACAACAGGGGAATATTACTAAAAAGCACAGGGTGTCTGTAAAAAACGCTCTTTTAGACAATATAGCACTCACCATGGTTGAATTTTAAAAGATTAAACGTGTTTGAAATGTTTGGAACAATGCAAGATGTCAATCTTCTAAACAAATCTAAAAAATTGCAAAATTTTGAAAATTAAACCATTGTGAGTGCTACAATGTCTAAAAGAGCATTTTTGTAGACACCCTGTTTATGCCATAAATGATTACGTCGGCTAGAGTATATTTCAAGTAAATGGTAAAATTGACTGGATGGATGATATTTCTGTAATATTTCAAGTAAATGGTAAAATTGACTAGATGGATGATATTTCTGTAATATT